GCTGCATGATGTAGTAATAACACTATATTGAGACTGCGTTGGGACTAAAGATTCATTTTTTCATCACACGTTTTTAATTGAAACGATAAACTCATTGTTTTCTGTGTCTGAACCAAATAAACATGTTTTTTTTTAAATCTGGAGAACAAGATTTGTGGCCAGGGTATCTCTGCAGCACTACGGTACTTAATAAAAGTGTATTAATGCTGTTTTGTCTCACATTTTACCTTTGCATTAAAACAGTGCAGCTCTTGCGAGGTGCATATTGATTCTTCCAATGCACTTGGCCACATTTCAGTTCCGATAATGTTTCGATTGATGGTGTAAAATGCCTCACATGTAGAACAAATACTTGCAAACAGTCACTAGGGTGCTGCAGTGTATTTTTGCGAAAGTGAAATAATAACAACTCCTATAATAACTAATAATAACTCCTCTGACATTATGTTTTTAGTCACCACTCAAGGTCTTTTTCATGCACATTCACACATTTGTGAAACCTTTTATGTAGGTTTTTCTATGGCCAAGTGAAGTACAGCTGTGTTCACTGGCTTACTTTTCAACCCTTACCTAATCAGTGTGCAGAAAATAGGTAATAATCTGATTATACAACGTATATAAACACACTATTTCGATCTGAGAAAGCAGTAATTAGCTACAAGATCAAAGCAAATTAAAGATGTAATTTGTGTGCTCAGATCCAGTGTGGACTGTCATGTATTAGCACATGTAACAAGCTCAGATGTCAGAAGCCCTGTTCAGACATGGCATGAAAGTGTCAAGAGCTTACAGAGGATCCACTGCAGGAAACCACAACCTCAAACAATCGAGTGGTATCACATGCTACAAAGGCACAAGGCAATGTGTCGTCGTGGCCTGGTGTCATTTAGACCTACAGCTCATTTACTCTGTAGTGAATGTTTCCTTAGATATTTTACAGTGCATGTAGTGTTTACTGTATAAAACAGTGTACTTTCACTGTTGACTAAATGTGTCTTTTTTTCTCTTTTAGCTATCTCTTTCATTACATCTGTCATGACAGAATCATTTACCTGTGTATCACTGATGATGTAAGTATATAATTGTCTTAGACGTTTGTGTATCTATTTGTTTAAGGTTGAATTAGTTTTTTCTTCACTGTTGTTTGACCTGGTTGTGATATAAAGAAGAATTCAGAAGTAAAACTGAGTAACGCTGCCACTTTGAGAAACAGAAACAGAAATAAAGTTGTTGTACTCACATACATCCAACCATGTTTAGGTTAGTAAAGCTAATATGTAATATAAACAGGAACGCAAAACAACACATCACAGACACTAGTTAAGAGAAAAGGAAGACATTTTTTATACCACTGGACCTTTTAATGGGAATGTGTTAACTCTAATAACTTTTTTGTACTAAAGGACTTTGAGAGGTCACGTGCATTCAGCTTCCTCAGTGAAGTCAAGAAGCGCTTCCAGACAACGTACGGGTCGCGAGCACAAACAGCCCTGCCTTACGCCATGAACAGTGAGTTCTCCTCAACACTGGCAGCTCAGATGGTGAGTGTGACAAGAGCCTGAGCATATTGAGCAACACTTTCTTGTGACGTTTTTTTTTTTTTTTTTTACTTCTGTAGTCTATAAAAAACATTTAGTAATCGCAAAATACACTCACTGCTTTTCCTTCTTTTCTCCTTACCTTTTGTCTGTCTTGGTTTCTATTTGTAGAAACACCACTCAGACCCACGAGGAACAGAACGTGTCACTGAGACTCAGATGCAAGTGGATGACTTAAAGGGCATTATGGTCCGCAACATAGGTGAGCTTCTCATGAGTTTCCCCATGATGCAGTGATGCTGAAAGGACCTCTTTTGGTTAAGGTTTATTAATCCCCCCGTAGGAGAAATTCAAGTTACACACAGCAGCATTGGGGAATATAGTGCAATAAAAAGAGAGTACAGTGTATACAATATTATCTCAAATAAGAATATTACAAATGATAAATGTTCTGCCTATAAAGGGTTTCAGCTTCAACACTCCTTTCTAATTATCTCTAAATCTGAAGACAGTGTAGAAACAGAGTAAAAACATGGCTGTAGCCTGAGAGCTAACTGTAGCAACAGTCTGTCTATCATCAACTTAAATGAATGAAATTAAAGAATATTTGTTTTCATTTAGGGTTTCTTAGTCAAAGGAAAACATCTTGATTGATAAGCTCGGAGGCATACAGTTCTGATGGATCAGACAATCTGGAACCGGTTCTTGATTCCCATTCCTAGCTTTGTGCGAGTGGCATTTATTTCCACTTTTAAATGAATGCAACGTGTTTTTTAAGTTGTGCCAATGGCGCACTGGTCTTCATCTGCCATCAGGCCCAAAGCAAAGACAATTCCTGTCCCAAATGTCAGTCAGATTTCACCAAGCATTTGTTATGGATCTTTTTACACTGGACCTTTGTGTCTCTCAAATTAACTTTGGCTCGCTCTGTGTCTTTTTACAGACTTGGTAGCTCAGAGGGGAGAGAAGCTGGAGTTACTGATTGACAAGACAGAAAATCTGGTTGATTCAGTGAGTTTAGTTTTTCATCTGATGCACAATATTTTGCAGTATACAGATTTATATTTTGACTAATCTAGCAAGGAATTGTCACTGATGACTTTTTCTCCCCGCTCCTTTTAGTCAGTCACATTTAAGACCACAAGTCGTAACCTGGCACGAGCCATGTGTATGAAGAACCTCAAGCTGACCGTTGTTATTGTGCTTGTGTGCCTGGTGAGTACGGACAGAAGGAGATGTTACAGTGTAATGGATCTTTAGCCAGTCGTGCATTGTTACTTGGCTATATCTGCGCTGTAATTTACTCATTAGTTTCTTCTGTTTCCGTGCTCTTTTCAGGTGGTAATTTACATTATCGTTTCTGCTGCCTGTGGAGGCCTCAACTGGCATACTTGTGTCAAATAATGAGAGGAGAGTGTGTATAAAAGAGAAGGAGATAAAGGAGAAGAAAAAGAAAAAGAGGGAGAAGCGCCTGTTCAACTCCTGCCTGCCAACGGATACAAAAGGAAACACAACCTTCCTTTCTTTTACTCCTCTAGCTTCAACATCCCCGGAAGACACATACGCTGCTCCTCCTCCGGCCTCCTGCCTCCTTCCTCGCCTCCCTCCCTCCCTTCTTTAACAGCGTGCATATTGACTTGCCTTCTGGACAGGGAGTCCCACTTCATACCCACACTAATGGACAGCAGCCGTGTGGCCTAAAGCTGATGTGGAACAATAATCTTGTCTCATAACTAGTCCGGTATATTCATCCTGTCTCACGCACTTAGTGGCCTGATGAATCAGTCTGTGATACTGTCCTGCACCCATATATGTTATTAATCCAGTCCGACTGATACCTGGAATGAACCACAAAATATAGCAAAGACTGCTTTGTTATTGTCCTGCTTTTCCTTTGTTCAAGACATACGGGACGTGCAAATGTAGGTAGCATTTACAGTGTGCACATTTTTTGATAAAACTGATGCAGTAAAACGGTATGTCTCAAGTGGCATGTGTCTAACAAAACCACATTGGTGGTGTCTCATGAAAGATTGTCTGATTTCCGCCATGTTTTATCACCAAGCACAGTAGTATATTCTGAAGTGTATGTTGTAAAATACCAGATATGATCATACGAATACATATTGTAAATTTGATAGATATTACTGATTCAAAACAATGTAATGGCTCTTTTAAATCAAGCCTGATTTTGAGAAATATCCTTATCTCTTTCACACGTTTGATAGGAGGCTTCATCTAACCTCTTACCTCTGCTAGGATGTTCAGTGTGCCCATTATGTTCTTTTTCGTTAACACAATGCACTTTTTACATTGTACATAGATTTGCTTCCTGGCATCATATGATTTAAAAAAAAAAAAAAATCATGTAATTATTTAATTACTGTACATTCAGATTTGAAATAATAAAATCTGATGCTATAAAGTGGTTTATCTCTAAAAAGCAAAGAGATGTTATGATATTTTATAGCTTTTATTTTGAAATTTTCGAGCTGCTTACACTAATCAGAGTTAAAGAAGATGGAGGCGATTGACTGATAACAGTTATTGATCGCCTCTTCGGGACAGTGTGAGCAGATTTGAAGGACTTTGGGGTTTGTTGTCTCTCTCTCTCTCTCTCTCTGTGGAAAAAGAAAACTACCAGGTGAAACCAATTAACCATTAGGACGTAGTCAGCTGCGCGGTGCCGGTGCTGCTCGCTCCCGTGACAGGCAGGTACAAGCCTTCAATCCTTCAAAAACTTTACTTTTTATGTTTAAATCCGCTTTTTATTAACTCAACATACAGCTGAATGTCTTATTTGTTTGGTTTTTTTTTTTTTTTAATGTTGTCTCTCACATTACTCGAGGTTATCCAAAGGTCTAAAGTCCTGTCAACAGACATTAACGTTAACGTTTGTTCGCTCGGTGGTTAATTAATTATCATGAAGATAACTAACGTTTATTTGGTCTTTAACGGCTGTTTGCTCTGCGCCATCTTAGTTTTTAACCGTTAATATATATATATATATATTTTTATCTGTTTAGTCCACTTTGTTTGTAACTATTTTAAAGTTTTATATATTATATTTAACAATCAACTGTGATTGTATCGTCACATGTGGATTATTTTATAGGATATAAAACAGGTAATGTAACTGTAATCCGTTACAGTTACATTACAGAAAAAATATGTAATCAGATTATTTTTGTTTAGTGAAATTTAGCGGGATTATAATTTTACACAAAGCACCAGTTTCTTTAAAATACACTAAAATATTTTAAAATACACACTTCAATTATCAATACTAACTAACTTACTGATAATTAATTTATCTTGTGTGTAACTTATTTGCATATTTGGTGTTGTTGAGATAATCCAAAAGTAACGGAAAGTAATCAAGTTACATTACTTTAATATTGTGATACTTGGATTTGGTTACTGACTAACGTTATATATATATTTTTTAACAGATAATTATTACTTGTATCCGGTTATGTCATGAGATAACAAAAAAAAGGGTAAATTGATTAATCCATTGCAGTTACAAAAAAAAGACGTAATCAGATTACATTTTGTTAAAATGTGTTTTTAAGTAGGATTATGATTTAAACATCAGTTTCTTTTAAAAATACACTAAACAGAAGACACATTTTGATGCTAAAACTTTAAAAAAAAAGTTATTTTCTAACATTAAGGTTACATTGTTCTGTCGTAGAGAATACACTAGTATCAATACGACTTATTGATAAGTCTTTTCTCTTGTGTTTATTTGCACATTTGGTGTTTAGGTAAAACGGAAAGTAATCAAGTTATTAGAACTCGTATCAGACTACATTTTTAAAGCAACCCTCCCAACTTTGCACAAACAATCTTGACCAATTGATCGACACACGTAAAACATAATACATAATACTAGTTTACTCCCTAATCTTTGAAAGTGTCTGAGAGCTGCTGTGTTTTTAAACCATTTATGGACTTGAAAGAGTATTTTCCCTGCTATTAGTAGCTCCTCACTATGTTTACTCCTGATCTAATTATAGACCCAGCTGGCTGGAGGAGGCCTGTGCAGGGATAATCTGTCAATCGGGTGCAAAGGGGGG